TTATTAATCTATTATTTGACGGCCATTAGCTAAATTTTATGTTTATATTATTTAATTTTATATTATTTTGAATATGAAGTCAAAAGATTGTATAATATCGAGTTTGGATACAATCAACGCATCATTATCGGATAAGATAATAAACAATTAAGTTGCTGAAAATGATTTATCGAAATATTAATTATGTGATCGATGATGTATTTATGCCTAATGTGCACGCAGGAATAAATCAACGCTCGATCTTTATTGATAAATCATACCGTCATTTTTTAATCAATTTCATTGACTCAGAGTGGCTCCAAATTGAAAAAAATTACTGCAATTAATTTAATTTGATTAACTTATCAAGCGATTATATTATTATATTGTTATGGATAATATTTGCTCGGATTACATACATGCTTTATCCTTGAGAATAAATTTATCCTTCAGAATTAATACTACATTTATTGAAATATTTTATGATTTTATCATAAAAAATTGTTTTTGAAAAACACACTAGAAACGCGATTTATAGAAAAGTGAATGAAGTGAGGTGATATACAGAATGAGATATACAGAAAATAATATTGATTTTAGAGTTTTCATAAAAAATTTATCCATACATTACATTATAATATTACTGGAACGTTTCATTGCAATATTACAAAAAGTGACATCTTAACATTATTGGAATCTTGCAACAATGATTCAGCAACGTTTCGCAACTACCATGCAATATTCACATTGCAATGATTCAGTGAAATCATTCTGTAATGTTTCTGCAATCTTTCTGTGCTGTTTGGGAATCCGTCTATTTATTCTCCTCATGTATAGTTCCTTTCGGGATACACTTCAATCCCATCATGCTTCAATCCAATCCTTCATGATCGATAGTTTTTGACAGTAGCAATCGACGAAATTCAATGAAATCAAGAAAATAAAACGACCAACAGTAATTTAGGCCAACGATCGCTTAGAAGAGATGAGGACGAGCCAAACTGAAGCCAGGAGATGTGGGATCAGCTACCTGAGCTGATATTGACGCAGATATTCGACTATCTTGATCGCATTGATCGCGCCAGCGTCAGCCAAGTCTGTCTATCATGGAATCGCACGTTGTCTTCACCTGTGCTCTGGCGATCTGTAACAGTTCTCATCGATCGCGATTTACGCGGCGATTTTCCCCTAGCAGGAGAACTGGCCGTAAGAGAATTTTCCGCCATTTGATGAAATTATTTTCAGCGATTTTAATTCAGCAAATTTAATCTAAAATTTTTAAATTCGAGTTATGAAATCAAGATCGTGAATTTAAAGAAGAAAGTATAATTCGAGAAAAAGATCCAATCTATTTTGAAAAATAGGCAAAAAAAAAGAGATGAAAATAAAGATTGCAATAGTAAGAATTAGAAGCTCACTATTGTATTATATTTTTGCAAATTTAAGTTCTCTTGAAATTTTCTTGAAAAATCTTCATTGATGTCTGATTTTATCGCTTTAATCATTTTAAGGCAATCTTGAAGACAATCTTTGCTACATTATGTTACATTCAATAGCTAGTATTGATAATATAAATTAAACGATATAACGATATTATTGATAGGCAAAATATGGACAGCATATGCGCAGCCTGGAGCTCGCTTTTTCACGCCCATACATCTCACCGAGACAAATTAGGATTAGACGCAACATTCAGGCTGAGGCGGGCGCAGATTTTCTTGCGATCGTCCGTGCCAAAGACGTACAATTGCGACGATTGACATTAACAAACTGGGTGTTCGGTTACAAATGGGGCAATAGGGGAATATTGCTTTCTGCCCTGGCTAATTTTCTGCGGTAATCAAATTGTTTTTGTATTGACCTTAATTGATAAAATGCAAGAGCTTATCTCAAAATCCCTTTTCTGTTTTGTATAGCAGTCAACGCAGCCTGGAAATCTTGAGCTTGTTAAATGCTGACTTTGGCGTGACTGATGTCTTGCGATTGCTTGGAACAGTTGCCAAAGGATCTGGCGAACATTTAGTCTCCCTGGATCTCCGCGGTGCTTTCAGAGAGTGGCAAGCTCCTCATGACAATCCAAAGCACGT